AATAATATAGTTTATTCTGGAGATGAGGGACGAAGAGAGAGTCGATAGGCTTATGTAGGGCTAAAATTTACAAGCAAATAATGAATAAAAATAAATAAATAGAAATAATATATTACACTATGCATATATATATATATATATATATATATAATATATATATAATTCACGGATCGGATCGAATCAGTTAACGGATTGGTTCGGTTTTTTTAACATTCAATCCGTTAACTGAACCGCTCATTGCGAATTGCTAATTTTTAAAACTATCACCAAATCATTAAATCAAAAAACCGAACCTAACCACACGGATTAAATTTGTTCGAATCGATTTAACGGATTAGCGGATTATTTGAACACCCCTACCTAAAACTCAATTCCATTCCTAAAAGAGTGGAAAATGCCAAATAACTATCTACTTGGTATATATATATATATATATATATATATATATATATCGTACACTCAAACCTTCCCCTCTTTTTATTTCCTTATATATACCTCCCTTAGCTGAGTCAGCTGTCCTAAAATGGTTATGACATGGACTTTGCTTCACTAATTCAGAATCAATTAATAAATTAATAACTTTGGACTTTACTTTGTTTGGTCAAGAAATTTTTAGATGCTCTTTCCACTAATCAAAATTGAATACGTAAGTAAAAAAATTAAAAATAATTTATACGTCGAATATCTAATGACGATTAGTCCAAAAAAAAAAACTTGCACAAAATAACTTGTCCATATTGTATTGGATTGCTTACGTAACAAATGACACAATTAAGTTTAACAAAGTCATATCAGTTGCCTAGAATACTACACTTCAAGCCGTCCAATTAATTTGTAAAAGATTTTGCATGAAACGTGATCAAAATGGCGACAATCCATCATTTATCTACAACATAGATTATGTTACAATCAATCTCAAAAGTTTGCTCTCTTTATTGTTTATGATAATCATGTCCTTTATTTTATTTTAAAAGAAAATTAAACACCCTTATACGCAATGGTATACGTCAATTGGACAGAGTTGAATTTCATTGGTTTCTCTGCTGCAAGTTGTTATAAAAAAACACACCCAAACACACACACACATTTTTATATTTATAGATCTCTGGTCAGAAGCAATTTCTAATACAGAATTCGCGGAAACTAAGGTGTTGCGGTCAAGATCTGGCTTTGCGGCCCGTTCTAAATGGTTGTATTAACTTAATAATTGTGATTTTGTTAGGTCAATGATCTCAACCATCTAACAATTTGATGCCTATTCATGAACTCTTCTCTGTATATATGTCTACATACACCATAACGGTATATCCCTTTCTTATAATACTCATATTAACCGGTCTCCAATTTTTGGCATTGTTCTCGAGAGGTCGGTGGACCAAGCTACAAGTATATAATAAATTTTTAAAAATGTTAAAGGGCAAAATTTCTCTTTCCTCTTTACCTATTTTCTCTTTTAATTTTTCTAAGTTACCCAACCATTTGACAACTGTTGGATATAAAAACGTGGAGGAATATATGTGGAAATATGAATTTGATTTGTGAATCAAACACTAAGGGTTTGGTAACTTTTCCAATTTTATTTTTCAATTTTTTAAAAAAACTAAATGCATTTGGTAACTCTATTTTGACTTTTCATATTTCAAAATTTAAAAAACTCTTTTCATATTTCCATCACAATTCTCAACTCCACAAATTTGAGCTTTGATTTTCAGTTTTGGTTTTGAAATACTGTTATTTATTATTTTTCATAATGAGAATTAGAGAAATATTATTTTATTATTTTTCACAATGAGAGAAATGTTATTTTATTAATTTCAATTATGCTCAAATGCAAATAAAATATTATTTTATTATTTTTCAATTATACTCAAATAGTAATTAAAAATTTAAAAATATTTTATTAAACTCGAATAGTAACATTAAAAATATTATTTTATTAATTTTTAATTATACTCAAATAGTAAATAAAATTTTATTTTATTAATTTTCAATTATACTCAAACAGTAAATAAAATTTTAAAATATTTTATTATACTTGAATAGTAAAATTAAAATTTTATTTTATTTATTTTCAATTATACTAATAGAAAATAAATTATTAATTTTCAATTACACTCAAATATTAAAAAATATATATATTTATTATACTCAAATAGTAAAATTTAAAGTGTTGTTTTATTATTTTTTAATTATACTCTAATTGTAAATAAAAGAGTCAATTTTTTTAAAAAAAAAAAAATTACCAAACATATTTTCTCTTTTCTCTTTTTAAAAAATTTAACAGCAGAGGTATGTTACCAAATATTTTTAGTTTTTATAAAATGACGGCATAACTTTTTAAAACTTACCATTTTCACATAAATGAAAGCACAACCGAAAATAAAAACCACAATTTTTCATAGGTTTATAATTCACCATCTCTTCTTCTAAGTTTCCTTTCTATACATTCTTCATACTTATGTAATAATGATGTAAAAACAAACATGGGTTGAGTGCAAAAGACTCCCTCATATTATATAAAGTGTACAATTACCTCCAATTATTCAAAAAATTCCCTGACTTTTTTTAATTTGTGCAAATAAGGAAAAATCATAATTTTGGCAATAAAATTATTAAATTAACCTTACTTTATCATTAGCATAAAAACAAAAAAATGAAGCAAAAGGCAAAATGTCAAAATTAACCTTAAATTCATATTTCCTTCCCGTCTGTCATAATATAACAATACTTTATATAATTATATATACTCCATAAAATAAAGCCGCTGCCAGCCTTATCTTTTTATTCCAAATTAGTAAATAAACCCAACTATTTATAAAAGATTGGGACAACAACCCTTAACTAGTAAGGAATGACATGTTAAAAATACTAATAAAATTGATCCAAACTTCCCAATATTACTCTGATGTGGCCTCATCTGAATACAAGAATTAATTTTTCATCTAATTTCTCCTCTATTTTTTATATATCTTTTTTTTATTATTATTTTATGATTTCTATCTATTTATATCGAAAATTTATAACCAGTTCTTAATTTTTTCTCCTGATCTTCTGGTAGAGATTGTAATTGGATTGCTGATTTTTTGGAGCGGTCAAGCAACATTTTCCTGGTTGTTCTCTTACTCTATGCTTTCTTGGAGCTTGTTGATTCTAGGTGTTCTATTTTAAAGAGAAATTAAAAATGTTGTACAATTGCTAGAATCTCACTTGACATACCAAATAAAATATAGTATCATTAAAAAAATAAAAAATAAAAAATAAAAAATAAAAATGATGTTTTATTGGAAACAAATTGCTAAATGGCAACATAAAAATATTTTACAGAGAAAAAAATAATATTAGAAAAAATATTTTGTTGGATAGGTTTTTAAGTACATCTAAATAAACTGATTCACTGTTCAAATATATACAAAATTGGTAAAGGCATTCTTGTTACACAAAAATGATACTTTTGATTTTTTTTTTTAAATGACATCACCAACTACTATTTTTCATATTTACTTCTATTTGATAGGGAACCATTTGCTCAAAACATAGATAATATCCATTGAGTTATATTGCAATTTATTTATTTATTTTTTTTTTTTTTTTTTTTTTTTTCTAATAAGAGTTTTTTTCTTTTTTGCACAACATTATGCAAGAATATCCATTACAAATTGTTGCCAATACACTATTATTATTATGAAGCTGGAATTGGGCCACCAAATTGTTGTCTGTGTTTCGGTCTTCAGCATTATTTTCGCGTCCCAATTTTTCACTGGAAAGAACTGAACTTTTGCGTCCCAATCTTCCCAATTTTTGTGTCCCAATCTCCTAGTTGGATTGAGGCTACCCAATTAACATGTAAAAATGGGTCAACTTAAGAATTAATATTCAAGAAATAGATTATGAATACGACTCAAATTGGAAAAGTATGATATATATATATATATATATATAGCTGGAAATGGGTTAACTCTCTATTTTCAGAGAGAGAAACAGGAAGGAGAGAGAGGATGAAGAAATTTTTTTCCTTGCTTACGTGGGCATTTTGGGTTTTTATAAAAGAATTGTTCATAATTGAGCACCAGGGCAATTTGCTCCAAATGTTGAAAATATAGGAATTTATACACACTTAATTTGTTCTAAATCTTGAAAATATAAAAATTTATATGCACTTACTAACTAATAGAGATACTTTTTGTACATTTTATATAGCAACAGTGTTTTTTTGTACTTAACCCTTTAAAATAATTAGATACTCGTTTTGATTTAACTAATAATTATGGTCAGAGGCTGATTTACAAACCTCATTTTTCATGGGATCGAATAATAATTTGAGTATACAATTTATTAAACTTTATTTATTTATTTATTCAGAAATGATTTAAAATATAACCCCAAAACTGAAGCAGAGAAAATGATGGATGAACCTCACGCCACATTTTTGCTTACATTTGGAGTCTTTGAACTCTTTACTTATTTATTTATTATTATTAGATTTAATTTACCAAATCAAATATTAAAAAGATGGTTTCTTCATAACCCAGTAGTTAAGTTGTTCCGTTGTAAAAGTCTGGTTTCGAGCTTTTGCATCTACTAAAAATCATATTGATTATTCAACTTCAATTTAATCAATTAATATTTAGAAGTTGAGTTATTTTGGAGAATTTTCTACAATCTAAGTCAATATAAAAATTAAAAATTAAATTTTATTTACCTTTTTCTTCTGTAAAAAATATGTTATATGAATAGAAAGTGATCCTGTACGAGATAGTCCATTCTACCTACCTAAGTGTGCACTTAAAGAAGTTGGGAATTTATGATTATTATTTATTCATCAATATTATTAAGAGAATGATGATTAGCGTGACATCAATCTCCTAAGTAAAGTTAATTTAAAATGGGTCCAATAATCACGCAATTAGCCCATTAATTACTTGAATTATTCAAAACGCTTAACTAACACGTATGTCATGGTTAGCTGCTGCCCTCTCCACCACCATATAAGGAATTTTTCCCACTCTTCCGTAATACTCACTCCTCCCTCTCTCACCGTTTCATTCACCAAACCAAACGCTTCTTCTGAGAACCCAGAGAGAGAAATACAGAAACACTCCTCTAATGGCAACAAAAGTTTATGTTGTGTAAGAATTACTCTCTCTCTCGGCGTCTATATATATATATATACACATTAATCTCTACTGTGTTTGTAGATGCAATTCTCTTATTTGGTTGTGTTCTGTTGTCTTTATTTTTAATTCTGTCCAACATTTCGTCGTGAATTAATCACGTTTTGTTCTTTTTGATTTTGTATTTGTTTGATCTCCAAATCTGTTGACTCTATGAATAAAATTTTGATTTTGTAAACCCATTTTACTTTCCAAATTCGTCTCTGTATCACTGAAAATTTCTAATTTATTTTAGTTTTTCTTCATTGTATAACTATGTTTTATGAGCTTTTCAGATTTGAGTGGTTTTCTAGTTTTCTTGTGGGAGAATGTAAAATGCAAATCTCATATATTCCGTACATCTTCGTCGGTGATAGTTTATGAATCGTGTGGTTCAATTAGGACTATAGATCTTCTGGTTGGATCTTAATTTGTACAAATTGATAGCTAAGATTGAAAGCTTGATCACTCACTCGTGTTGTGTCATTGAAATCTCATGCTTTATGTAATAAAAGGTTAATGATATCGGTGATTACTCTCCTAAATTACGTTAATGTTTGGAACTATAATATTATTTGGTCTGTTTTTTTTCCACCAGTGTGTTTCAGTGAATGATTATTTTCTAGCATTTTTTTTTTTTTTTTTTTCTGATATTATTATTATTTTATGTATATTAATAAATATATAATTTCATTTGATGAAGCTAATTGGTGTCGGTCCCTATTCTTTACTTTGATAGCCATATGTAATTGTATTTCACACTAAATCAATTTAAAATCTAAAGGGTTTGTGTGGTGTATTTTTTTCCCTCAACTATGTCTGCAGCAAATTAATATATTCTTGATTTACTCTCATGAGTTTTATTATAATATGCTATAATAGGTCCTTTTCTACCATTAATTTGATTTTTTTTATTTTTTTATTATTATTTTTTTTATTTGGGGATGTTTGATAAAGAAATTTAATGACGGTACAGGTACTATTCTATGTATGGACACGTGGCAAAGCTGGCAGAAGAGATAAAGAAAGGGGCTGAATCTGTGGAAGGTGTAGAAGCAAAAATGTGGCAGGTATGAGCTAATCTTTGGTTAAGCAGAGGATTGTGCAATTTCTTTAACTGTGGGTTAAGTTAATTAGTGAAGTTGATTCAGAAACGTAATCCTATTGCTTTGATTTGATGTATTTATTTTGGTTTCAATGTTGAGCATCATTATTCTGAATAAAATGCGAGAAAAACTGATACATTTATATGAATGTGTGGTTTCTTACAAATGTAATGTGATGCAGAGAAAGATGTAGCAATTCAACACTTAAACTATTTTCTCACTGAGGATTTAATATTGTGTGTGAGAGAGAGAGAAAAAGAGATGGCACATTGATTATTAACTAAATAATTTATGAAAAACACTTTAGCCTTCTATTATTTGAATTCTGAAATTGGATTGAAACTCCATAGTTTGCCTTTTAGGATATATAATGAGTGTAGAATCATTCAGGACTCGTATTTATTGCTTTCCTAGTGTTTAGGAGGTTCTTATACTCCACACTTTCACAGATATGTGATCGGTTGTTATAATGCACAAGGCTGAAGAAAAATATAAAATATAAAATATTTCATAGCTATCTGATGAATGTCTTTTTGGCATATGGAGCAGGTACCTGAAACACTGCCTGATGAAGTTCTTGGGAAGTTGAGTGCACCACCAAAAGGTGATGCCCCAATCATTACACCCGAGGAACTTGCCGAGGCAGATGGGCTTATATTAGGTTTCCCCACTAGATACGGAATGATGTGTGCTCAGTTCAAAGCCTTCCTAGATGCAACCGGAGGCCTTTGGAGAACACAACAGCTGGCTGGCAAGCCCGCGGGCATCTTCTACAGCACTGGATCTCAAGGAGGTGGACAAGAAACTACAGCGTATGTTCTCCCCCTATTGTATAACATTATATTATATAGTGGATATGCTACCTCTCTGCTTTTGATTAAAGAATTTGACTTGTTAAATAAAAATAAATAAAAACTATGACTTGGTTTGCCTTAATTTCAAATGACTACGCAGCCTGACAGCAATTACACAGCTTGTTCACCATGGAATGATCTTCGTACCAATTGGCTACACATTTGGCGCTGGCATGTTTGAGATTGAGCAGGTGAAGGGTGGCAGCCCTTATGGTGCTGGAACTTACGCTGGGGATGGTTCAAGACAGCCTTCTAAGCTTGAACTTGAGCAAGCCTTCCACCAGGGAAAGTACATTGCTGGCGTTGCAAAGAAACTTAAAGGCAGTGCTTGATTTTTCTCACCACATTACCACTACTCTGCTTGTTATACTTGCAATTTTTTTTTTTTGTACCCTTTTCTTTTTAAATTTCAGCTATGTTCTAAATAGTGCAATCATGCTCATTATTATAATAAATACCTCCTTAGTCAAGAGCATGTCTTGTTTCTCAACAAATTATATTCAATTAATGACAGTTTGCTTACACTTCCATCCCTATCATAATGTCCTTTTTTTTGTTTTAAAATTCCTTCCGGTGGAGACTGAATGCAAATTTGTTTCATTTTCGATGAATTAACAATGCATAAGGATTAAAAGGGTGTAAATTACTTAAAGATTAATCGGAACATAGTGGTTGCAAACTTGCATGAAGAACTTCGATACCATTGGTATGACTATGATTTTTTTGGGTATAATTTGGGCTATATGAGGGTTTGTACAGAGTCTAGAGATAAATTGTGAACTTTTTTATTCACTCAAAATTTCGATGCAATGTTGCAAAGCTTAGTAGAGCAGAAGTGTAGATATCCAATAAATCCAAGGCAGAGGCGTGTTGATCACATTTTAAAACTGATTTGAACTGGGAGCAGTGAAAATTAAAGGTATTTATTTCTTTTTCCTGCATTATGAGATTGAAAATTAAAGGCCATAAGTCTGAGTGGCAAAATTAACACTGCTTCATAATACTCAAGATAGACAATCTAGAGTTGGCTGAGATTGTGTGATTCTACATGGTTTGGAAGACTGACATATTTGGTTGAACTTGAATCCCACATTACTGATTCTGTTATGGGCCATCTCGTGTCTTGTCTACATCTTGGACAACTTGTTTGTGTTCAATCAATTATGAAAGGAATTCTTTGCATGTTCATAGTGACATCAATTTTGAGGCTCCTAATGAGATCATACACCCAGTCATCCATATTCACTAGAATAAGTAGGTTTTCAAACTAAATTGGCACAAATTGTCCTTCACCTTCAATAAAATTATATAGATGGATGATCACATCTATATAGACATGGGCACATATGGTTATCTCTATCTTTGTTATGGAGTGTCAGAGAGTATTTTCATGGTATGGTCCATGTGATCTCTTCATGATACAGTGATTATTTATGGTCTAAGTTAGATTATTACAGTGTAAAACTCAAAAAAGGACAAATTTAGAAAAATTAGGGTCCCAAATCACTTATCAATATATTTATCAAGAACAAAAAAAAAAAAAAAAAAGAAAAAAAAAAGAAAAAGAGAAACACTTAAAAGCATGAGAATATTTAAGTTCTATCAATGTTTTTCAATTAAAATTTTACAAATTACAGGCAAAACAGCATTCGTTCACTTTTCCTAGAACATATATTATATATTATTGAAACTCTAGTAAAGGGTGACTTACCAGAACATATATTATATATTATTGAAACTCTAGTAAATGGTAACTTACCCATGCAATTCAAAATGGTTAGGAGAGAGATTGACATTTAATATACATTAATTTAAATAAAGAACCATTCCCACCTCTCTTCTGAGCTGTACACTCACTCTCATCAATTGTTGGCTACAAACAATACTCATAACTATTTATAGGCATCCTCTCTTAATAGAGGAGTAAGATGCATTACACACTCTTCTAAAATATCACAACTCTACATCATCTTTTTCCTGCTTTTTTATTTTTTGTTTTGTGATTTTTTTCAGTTCATATATATATATATATATATATATATTGTTTTTAAATTCCTTCTTGTAGAGACTGAACTGCAAACTTGTTTTTAAACTGATTTGAACAGGAAGTAGTGAAACACCACATATAATATATATGATCAAAGTCAGCTATCATTGATTTATTTCTGGATTATGAGATTGAAAATTAAATGTAGATATTGTTGCATGTCTAAAGCCGAAAGCCTAAGCGAAAAATTAACATTGCAATTATAATGGCACAAAATATCAAGATAAGACAACTAGGATTTGGGTGAGATTGGGTGATCCTACTTGGTTTGGAAGACTGACATATTTGGTTGAATCCCACATTACTGAATTTGGGCCATTTTGCGTCTTGGACAACTTGTTTGTGTTCTATCAAATATGAATGGATGGATGTCTTTGCATGTTCATAGTGACATCAATATTGAGGTCATACATACACCTAGCCATCTGTATTTAATAGACCACAATGAAACAAGTCTGGATTTTGAGTGGGTTTTCAAATTGGATTGGCACAAATTGTCCTTCGCCTCTTCAATAAAATTAGTCATATATAGATGGATGATCACATCTTTACAGACATTGGCATATATGGTTATCTCTACCTCTGTTATGGAGTGTCAGCGAATATTTTCAGGCTACGAGTGGTCCATATGATCATTTCATTGAAGAACTTTCGTGTCATGTTCTTACACAAACACACAGCATAGTTTTCAATCCCTTATCATCTTCTTCATCCTTTTCTATATGTTGGTTTGTGATTTTTTTTTTTTTTTTTCCTCAAAATTTCATCAGTTCATATTCTTCCTAAGTTCTGGATTAGGCTTTTGCTAACAGGCTAATTATCTTTCATTTTCACTGAAACAAAACCAATTATGAAGCTGGTTTACTTTATTTATCCTAATCAAACCTAACACCATAGAGAGACAAATTTTACATTTCTTTATAATTTGCTTGACAGTATTATCCAATCTTCAACTGGCTATAGAACAAGTGAAGAAGCACAAGTTTTCTTTCTGGTCCATGTCTTAAAAGCAATTATCTTCTGTTTAATTAGCAAACCGGAGAATAAATTGGACTGTGACGCCAAATGAACTTGGAAACAGAGTGAGACACAATCTCTCCAAATCAAAATTCTTTCTTTCATTTCTAATCTCTTAATTAACTGAAAAACAAACATCAATCACTTCCATAATTTATAAAAACAATGTTAGGCCACATAATTAGTATATAATTTGGCGACCTTCACCAGAGAATCCAATAACCATGAACACACACAAGATGTTGATTGTTTAATTACATGATACGACCTTGTGGTCACACAATATTCATAATTTTGAGGAATTTGTTTAAAAAAAAAAGAAAAAAGAAAGAAAAGGTCCTGATAAAGATAGTTCACATGCAATAAAGAGAATGCGATCCCAATATATGGTTCAAAGTACATTTTGTAGGCTAACACATTTTTGGCAAAAAGAGGTTCACAGCATGAAAAATAAATAAAAATCTGCAATATGAGACATCAATCAGCTTTGAAAGGCACGTTTGGGTGTGAAAAAGCTTAGGAGATCAGATTCAAAGGTGCATAAAGAAAACCCCCTTTAGAGATGGAAAACTTCTCTCAGAAGACAAACACAATTGATTAGTCACAAAAAGGAAAGCAAACTTTGCCAATAAAGTAAAGATCGTATCGTAACCGCTGGGAGTCATATATGCTCTTTCTCTAACATCACAATGATGCCAATATGCTTTTTCTTTTTAGTATTCCTTTATATTATATATATATATATATATATATATATTTCTATATGACTATATACTTGATTAATTTAGAATTAAATTCCATGGAGTACCGAGACAGCAAGAGGTACTGATCCGGATGCTTGAAGGTATGGTATAATACCCATCAGCCGATCAATTCAAAAGTCACCAAAAAAAAGGATTAAAGCTGGTGCCAAGAGATACCAAACAAGAAAAATCTCAACGATTAAAGTTTTCATTTTTTTTTTTTTTTCCTTCATGATTAGTCACTTGTCATACTCATTCTTCAATGTTAAGCTTCTTAGTTTTCATTTGGATCTCCAGTTGCTATCCTATGTAGTATTACGAAGCTCTCTCAGTTGCTACTGGTTTATAATATATATTTACAGTATTTCTTATTCAAGTTAACATGAAGTTTTAAGGGATAATTACATAAACATGGATTTTTGGTGACCTTTTTACATACTTATAGAGTCAAAGTCAACATTTTTCATGGTCTTGGAATTTGCTAAGACAGACATTAAAAATATTATTTATTTGTCCAAACTATCTTTCGTATTTTCATGTACTATTTTTGTACATGTAAGGACTACTATTATACACAGATGTACCATTTTTATGCAAATATCACTCTTAATTACATGTACCACTCTTTTGCACAAAGGTACCATTTTTATGTACATAAGTACTACTCTTGTGAACAAATTTGAACAGAGATACCAATTTGTATCTAGGTACCACTCTTATATATAGATGTATCACTTTTTGTGCAGATTATTTTGATGAATTCGCTTGTACAAAGAATAAAAATAATAACTTTGTGCACAAGAGTGATATTTACGTACACAAAAGTGGTACTTGAAAATGTTAAGGATAATTTAACAATTAAATAATATTTTTCCATGTCCATGTTAAATTTTAAGGAAAGTTCATGACTGAAAAAGGTTGACTTTCATTCAATAATTATGTAACAAGTTCTCCAAAATCAATGTTTATGTAATTGTCGTGAGTTTATTTATTTTTATTTTTTAATATCTTCTCTATTACATTGGATAAATCCAGCTCACATGTGTGAGCACTCACGTATGCAAGTGCTGGAATATGTACAAGTGTTGAGATCCGTTAATGTTGTACAACGCGACTGTAGAGGACCCCAGCTCCTTTCGTGAGTGTAGACAAAAATGTATTGCACCATCTTTACTTGTTGCAAAATGAAAAGCATAATGCAACAATGGGTTCAAAATATGTATGCGAATTACCAATTAAGTGATTCATGTATGACTAATGAAGTTTTTAAGGTTCATATTATATTTGATTGATATAAATGAAGATTGTACAAGACTTCGATGATTTTGTAATTATGTTCGCATCAAACGATAGTTAAAATAAAATAAAATAATATGATATTAAGTGAATTAACAATATCGGATCTTTACCTTCTAAATGAAGGTCAAGATTTCACACCTCTATCCATGTGAATGTGAGTTTCAATAATAATAATATTATTATTATTAAACACTGGAACAAATGAATCCTTTGAAAATGGCCGGAAAAAGCAACAAATACTGCCATGGATAAAAGTTTATGAAAAAAATTTCAAGTGTTGATCCCACATAAACTTTCCATAAAATTTCACTGTCGACACTACCAATGAATTTTTTAGTTGCAAAATAATTTCGATATACACTATTTTTTATCAATGGAATTCATATCCTTACAAGAAAGACCTAACTCTAAAATACAGCTTTAGATATTTATTGGGGTTTTACATATCTTTGGCTTTCTAATTAATAGATAATATGGAGCTTGATAGATATTATACACTAAAGTGCAATTTTATAAATCTAAATTTGCAATTTTTTGAAAAATATTTTGATAATTTCTGCATTTGTTACGCTAACTTAGTGCGATGATATTTATTCATTGTGAACTATTTATATTCGTGTGACTGTTTGATCATCATAATGAAGTTCTTGTAATCCTTGACGTAATCCTAAATTTTTTGGTGAATTAAATACAATCTGTGTGTTTGATTTTTTTAGTATATATATATTTTTTTTCTGATTTTTATTTATTTTTTATTTTTATTTTTTTTTATGTTTAATTTCGTAACACTTAGCTAGGGCTGCTGAATGTGGCCATTACATAGAAAGAACATTGCACATAAAACAATAATTGGTAAACTGTTTCCAGTTGCATTTTATATAACTGAGAACCTAAAAGTATGAAATGTGGGCCTCCCTCTGACTTTCCACTAACGCCATTCCAAACAGATAAACAAATTGAAAGTTATATCGATATATATATATATATATATATATTTCCAAACAACTGATGTCCATAAAAAGCGCACACACTCATTTCTCTTCTTCAATTCAATAATACCATATAACTTCTTTAATTTTTTTTTTTTTTTTTCAAATCAAAAGGGGTACCAACTGTCAACCCCACATTACATATAGAAACAGGAACAGAAGTCCCTTAAATTTATCATCTTCCTTCTGCTAAATTTGGCTCATTAACTAACAATAAATATTCTCTCAGGAGACTACCTAACATCCGCTAAATTTAGCACCTGTTTCTGTTCCTATCCTATATATATGTGTATATATATATAATACATATATATTATTACAGCACAATATATATTATCCTTCAATGGTACCTAATCATTTGCTAGCCTGTATCATTCTGCTGCTTGTAGCTGGCCCAGCATGTTGTCCTTCATCCTTCCAAGCCTCACTTCTTTTTTCTTTCACTTTCTCCCTTTTTCTCTGTCTACAACTACACCAATGTGACATTTTTTTTTTTTCCTTTTCGTTTTCTTTTTCCTCTGTCAATGAATTTATGCCAATTAATTAAGTTGGCTGTGATTGATATTATACTAATTGTAGAGAAAACTTGTTGAGCTCCTCCATCTCCTCTCTACCTGAATATCCCTCCAAATGTTGGAGTCCAGAGATCACTCGTAGGCTCATTAGCAACTGGGAAGGTGCTTGATATTGGTACCAGGCAAAGCCCTCGGCTTTTTAAGTCTTGCGTAGGCCCTTCCTGCTCCTTCAGTTTATCACATGTCTGCAACATGAATCAATATATAATCAAGAAATAACATATAAAACCTATGTATGGAAATTAAATTAAGACAACAACTTAATTTGTACCTGTTGATGTCGAATGGGAGCTCCATTTTTCAAATATGGAGTACTTAAAACCTGAACAACATGTATAAACAACATCAACACTTTGTAAAGGAATGGATATATATATTTTTTCTTTATATAGTTTCACTTAAAATGCAAATATTTCAAGGGAGATGATGTTCATAATGTAACATACACTGACTTCATGATGGAGAAACTTGATGTACTCAATAGATTCATGGAGAACCGATGCAGTATCAGTCTGAAAAATACATTCCATGTGATTGAACTAAATTAGCCAATTAGGTTTAAATGAGCCGACAAAGAAAAGTAGTACTCTTCACAAAAGGAAGAGGAAAAATCCAAAATTTTACCTTTCCGAAAGGCGAAACAAGTTGCTGGAGCGCAGTGATTCGGTCCCCCAGCTTCTCTTTCCGGACCTGATAACAAAGGTAGCTTCAAGTTCTCATCCATTTCTTTGACAAAAGTAAGATCTAATTTTTACAAATTAATTAAGGAAAAAAAAAAACACTTGAAATTAAAGCTCCCCTATGGTAAAAAAAGTTTGATCAAATCTGTCTTGTACCTTAAAGGTTGGCAATGGTGACGGTGTTTCAATTCGTTGTCTTTTGAATACAGGTTCAATATTGCCGTTTTTCTTTGCCACTGAGCTTGAGTCTCGAACTTCAATATTATTGGGCTGGAATTTGAATACAAAGTATAATTCAGTCCCAAAACCCTAGCCATGTAACCATTTAAGAAGTACATATTATATACATATGATCATTACCTTGGGAGTGGAGTTAAGGCAATTGGGTTTGTCTTCAAATGTTGAACCAAGGAATTGTGATTGCATTGAAGGAAAAAAGCTTGCTCGAATGTCGTTTAGATGTGCAGCAGTGGCATTCCAGAAGGGTGTGTCGTTGTTGAAGTGCAGATGACTGGTAGGTTGTGAAGGCTTTAGCAAGGAAGAGAATTTTGGCATAGTTGGAGAAAAATTATCATCCAAGTTTGTCCGGTAATTTGTTGTAGATGGATTGGTGATCAAGGGCTTGTCAAATATAGATGCTTGTGGTTGAGGATCAGTAGTATCAAATAGAGAATGAAGCAATGTTGAAGGGTAATCATATGAAGTTGAACTCACTGAAAAGCTCGTCGGCAAGCCTTGGCACGTTGGTGTACAGTCACTACCGGAGGTTGTGACACAGTTTAAACTTGGCTCGTTTAAGGACAGACCTTGATTCATGGGCTTATAGGTACTCATAGTTGAATCTTGGTCTTGAGGACAATCAATACCTGTTTGTTTATAATTCAACCTCGAATTCATGTCCTCTTGTAGCAATGGATGATGATGGTAAATATTGTTCTCAGCTCTTCCAGTACCACTACTGCAAAATTAATACAAATAAGAAGATAAGAACAAAAGCTTGCTTCAACAATCAAAATAATTGATCAAATTGACTTCCTTTTTCGAATGATTACAATGAAAATAAGTACCCAAGATATTCTACTTTTTAGTGGTGGTGGAAGCTTGGTATTTGTTCTTGTGGAATCTGAGTTAGCTTCAATATATTACAATTCAAATCATCAAAAGAGTGTAGTGTAATATTTTCCATGTACTGATAAACTATTAATTGTTATACTAATTATATATATATATATATATATTTTCATATATATATATATATATATATGAAAATATATATATAAGCAATACAAGATATACTCACAGTAAAGTATGGTTCCAATCCATTGTTGCGGATGATGGAAGGCCGATACCCATCATCTGCACGGTGGAATCAATTACGACGGTGCCACCACCATCGATGGAATATTCATGAGACGGCTGAGGTTTTTGCAGATCTTGGAAGGCTATAGACTCATCACTAGACCTTGCCGCCTTCACGGCCACTAAGTCAGTTGCCCATCCCAAGCTTCCCATATCATTGATGACCGTGGAACAAGGCGACGACCCCAACGTGCTTTTCCATGAATTATTCCACCAGTTTCCGCCGTAAACCCCAGCTTGGAATTCATCTGCCATGCCCAAATATTGCTAGCTTATATATGATTTGTTGTTGTTGGATGTTTCTAGCTCTTGATCTGTGTGTGTCTCTCTGTGTTTTTGCTGACTCTTCCTCCTGTTCTTTGCAGCTGAGTTTTGTTTCATACAAAAGTGAATTGAACACTTTGGTGCTATATATATATACACGCGCCCATCAAACAGTTGGGGCGTACGGACGGTGGAAACTACCCGAATCTGGTTGACATTTCAAGCGAGATTTTAACATTGAATGATAAAAAGTTTTTTTTTAATTTTTTTAAAAGGCAAATTGATTCGAATTTTCCTTTTCTTTTATAGTATAAGTTTTTATTCTCCTTTCCTACTTTAAAATTAATTGTTTTAAGTATTTTATTTTTCAAATATATAATTATTCTTCGTTTCTTATGAACAAAGGGATATGGTATAATGAAAAGGTTGTTGCTAACGTCAACGTACGAATTCGGACAAATTACATAACTTTTGCTATCAAAATCGGATGGCTGAAATTCTTTATTGCTGCTACTGTGAATTCCAGGACCTGGATATAGTTTACTTTTACAGTTCCACATTATTACGATTGTGGAGGGAATATAATTAGGTGTGTACAAGGCACTATACTGCACGAATAGACTTCTACATAATTTGTTATCATAAAGGACAGTAACTGATTTAACAATAAATGCGAACATGATTATACAATTAGTTTTTAGTAAATAAAATGAAAGCAATATACTCCGTAAATCAAAAAGGCCCAAAACTTCATGTACAAAGTTTGAGTTTACATTGCAGTGGTACTGTTGGTACTACAAAAGGTGAGCCCACCACTCCTTGTATGGTGGGACAACATCCACAGCTTAAAGTTTATTTATTTATTTTTATTTATTTTATTTTTTTATGACAAATTGTTAGATACTCTTAAATAGGACTAATTTCATTTAAGACAATTGTTGAGATTTTTTTGAAATATATTAATATATTAGGATTATTTTTTTAATCGGGAGTCTTAATTGAATTGATCTACTAAATATTAATGGACTAAAATGATCTAATAATTTCTCCTCCTTTCCTAACTTTGCCATCATTTAGACCTATTTTTAACTCCATCCAATTCCACCGGCACACTCTTTTGGTTTTTGAATGCATATATGTGTACATGTATACACACACACATATATATATATATATATATATATGTATATATACGGGTGTTTGTATGTTTTTGCTTATGTAGCAAAGCATATACTTTAATGTAATCTTTATAAACAAATAAATATCCGTACATAACAGTTGTACCAAACAAACCACATAAAACATTCATAGCTCATGAAATTCAATGAAACAAAAATGAGGCAAGGATAGAATTAGGCTTAAAGTTATTAAAAAGTATTTTAATACAGTATATTTAATAAAGTGCAAGGATATTATAACAATTTCGTAGCATAAATGAGGTTGGGTGATGTGGGGATCTCTCCCGTCCCCACGCCACAGCGGCTCAAGTTTCACCTTTCTTCCAAAAGCCTCCTAAACGAGTTAGGGTGTGAACGTTCACCCTAGTTAATTTATATAGTTTAAATATTTTATAAGCTAAGATAAATATCAACATAGATTTGTTGGAACACAAATATCATTTGTGTATGTATATGATCTTTAATAACATGGGCGCTGCGTCAGCCACCTCAATACCCTGCCTATACCCTGCCTAAACGCTGTGAAACTGATATAAAAGCGCGTACAAGATTTTCATGCCGCGTTGTTAGGTCAGTCCTAGTAGGACTTGCATTTTCCTTGAAAATGCAATGAAAGTGACTAACTTTACTTAACCTCATTTGACCATAACAATCTTAATCTCACGGTCAGCTATGAAACTCAACAAATTTTTTTTTAAAATATAATCAAGAAATCAATATATATATATATATGTATATATATATATAAAGGTAATTAAAAGTTATGCAACACAGTGGGAGACTATCAAATTAACTATAGAACCAAAACAATGATCAAGAAAATTTCTACATGAGTGTGACTGTGTACAGCTGTGGCTAAGTGGGCGGAGTGCAACTGCGTTGCGTTTTTCGCAGAGTGTGAAGACCTCCATACGAGTCAATTGGTCCACATTGCAAGCGCGCGTGACGCGACAACTGGGGCCTTGTAGGAGGAGTCAAAGTCCCGATTGTGACCACCTCTCTATTTTTATATATATATATATATATATATATATATATGTCGCCTCTATTTTATTATATATATATATATATATATATACACCGCGATGCTTATTTTTTACTCTCTATCCCGATTTAGACGTCGCTTTTGGAAATTCTGAATTTTTAAGAAGACATATGAAACATGCCTTATATTTTCGAAAGTTTACTAATTTATCCTTTTAAGTTTGAAATCTTAAACTCCAAGACATATATGAAAATATGTAAAAAATATTATTTAAAAAAGAGATATGACAATTATTTTGGGACGAACCAAAAATGAAAGTATGACATTTTTTTTTGGATAGAGGAGTATCTTTTGATATATATATATATATATATATATATATAATTTATATTTTATTGCGCCATATTGAGTCATATATTTTCCTCTTTTTTGTTCTTAATTTATGATTTTTTGAACTCTTACATTAATTTTGTTTTCTGAAGTATAGCATGTCACGGCGATGATTGTTATATATGATTGCTATAAAATTTCTCTGGAGCCTGTGGTGGCTATACACATTGTTGTTATACATATGACTGGAATACCCCCTAAATAGTAAGTTAATAATTGAAATTACAATTTTGTAAAAACTTAAATTATGTGTGGATGAACAAACATTTTAACTTCCAATTTTGTATGGATCGAATCGGATAATAAAGTAAAGGCAGCGAGTGAACTAGAATAAGATTATACTAGTTTAGAAGAGAGCCAGACAATGTTTAGAGCTAGAGAGAGAGAATGAAGGTTTGACCTGCAACACAAGAGAGAGAACAAGACACCATTTGCATATCACTTTCTTTCTCTATGATGCAAAAGGGAATTAAATGACACCCATCTACTACTCCTTGGATTTTCTACTTGTCTTCTCATGGTTATGGAATTTTCTCTTTTTAGTGAAATTACAATTTGGTCCTCTAGTCACACTAATTAAAGATGGGAGTTGCTTATGAATGGTGTTACGTACTAATGAAAGACAATTAATTATAATAATACAACCCTCCCACGCAAACAATATTCGCCTGCATGCGCATACTCAAAGGGTCCTTTGTCTCTTAACTCACTTGCATTTTCATAATGTTATGTTTTAGGCAACCATAATTAGAGTTAATTTTAACACGATATCATTATTATATATGATCATGAGGCTTATTTGTTGCTGTATTATGTTGTATCTAGCTATAAGTATAGTTTACGTACACTTGGATCAACTTAAAACTAAGCAACTAACTACATAAATAGGAATATGATTAATTAATATACTGAAATTAACTCCATTATAACTATATCAACTAATGTACGTGCATGTAATTATATACGTATGACATATAATCAAATTAAAATAATAAAAACGTAACAATAACAATTTAGGCAACATAAACAACAATGTTATTGGAAACTAATTAGAGTTTAGTGTTGTATTATTAAGTTTGAGGTCCTTGCATGCTTAGTTTTATTCAATTTTGTGGATTGACACCTCGTGGGAAACTCTTGAGCCGAATTTTATATGCAATAATTTGAGGCATGCCCGATAATTACTACTACTACTATATGCATAGATACAAGTGTGTATACACACACTCGTGATGTCATCATGAGGGAATCTTGAGGTGTATACGGCGACAAATTAGATACATAACACGATACAATGTACAAAGGGTCATGTGCTAGTAAAGGAGGGAATGGTACTGGACTGGGCCCAGAAAAATGATATAATATTATGATATATATATATATATATGTATATTGAAGAATAAAAATAAAATAAAATAAAATAAAGAGTAGAAATTAATAAAGAATTGGGAATGAGAAAGACAGCAAGCAGGGCCAAGGAGTGAGTGGACATGGGCTGGGTTGGAAGTCTGTTGGAAGTCTGCTTGTGGTATGGTCCATGTGTTTTGTGAATGAAACGTGCTCCTGTTATTTTACGTTTAGTCAACACAAAACTCAATAAAACATGAACCATAGGAGCCGCCCATTTACAAGATATATATAAAACATAATAATTATACAGAGAACCAACATATCTATAAATAGTTACATGTTTTGTATAATAATGGTTCAACTATATTATTCAATGAAAAATGCTACAGTGAGGGCATAAGCTCTTACAACTTCCATAGAGATGGTTCATCAGAATTAGTACTTCTTCTCTTTCTTTCTTCCCCATTTAAATACATGTTCACGCGGAAAATTTCAACTAAAATGGTCTATTGTTAGAGGTTTTTGTCCAATAGTTTAAATTTTTGAATCAAATGACAAGTGTAACCCATTATAAATGGTATCTGAGTCATACTCAGTAAATCATCAAGTATCACATCAGGCTTTTGCGCGGTCTAATAGTCTGACCCGAAGGTAGTCAGAGGGCATGCTACTCATATTTTTGCTTACACGGTGTGGTTAGAGGGAGAAGATTTTAAACTCATCTGCTTTTTTATTTTAAACAAAATAATTTATCTTAATTTTGTTCATCTCTACTTCTACAATTGCACCAAACAATTTTATTTGTCTATTCAGAATTTATATGGACAATCGATTTTATTTGTTAAAACTAATTTTAAATGATTTCATGTTTAAGTAGGAGTCGTTAGCACCTGAGATCCATGTTCAACTTGCTAAAATATTTAGGATTGTTATTAACAAATATTTCAACGAATTAAGAGTCAGCCTATGATGAGAGAGTGCTCTCAGCGTCAGCCGGAGGCTTGTGTCCATAGCCATTGAATTAAGTTGTGAATTCTAAACCCATGGCCAATGGTACAAAATCACATGAGTGTCATCATGATTACGGTTTGTTTTAAAAAATAAGATAAAATAAAATGTAGAGAGAGAGAGAGAGAGTTATGATTCTGTTATTTTAATGAGAAGATGAATAAATGGTAGGTGATGCACGCTATATATAATACACTATTGATGTGTGGATATCGCACGCTCAATCAAAG